CGGGCCTGGAAGATTGTAGCTGTTAGGGTTAACCGTCTTAGCCTTAACACCTGTCGATACTCTAGTAGTCTCATGAACATCAAATTGTTTATAGCGAGCGTCCAGTTCACTCACTCTACGCCTTCCCACACACTGGTAGATTTTTCGAGTCAAGCACCTGATGCTGCGATGAAGAAAAGTAGCTGGCAGAAATAGGAAAAGTTCGCCTGCACATGCTACCTACACGAATTGGCCCCAAAACACCAGGATTTCACACAAAGAGCAATTTTCAGTAAACGCGATAACTGAAAGGTCAAGTAAGTAACTTGCTCTTTAAAGTGTAACTAGTTTTTCATCCGGCTCTACGAGTTCAGTGTTCGGCCCTGTTCAGTTCAGGTGTAAGTGTCATGGAAAGGAACTTCAAACGAGTTCCAATAAATTTACATGGACCTGCTCCATACATAGAATAGTAAAACTTTACCCCCGTCGTGTCACTATCATAATGCCAGGAATACACCCATTTATTGATTAACAATTTCGCGACTAAATCCTGGCGCATGAGTGCGCGTTTGAATCTAACCGTATGTAGCCTCTTTCCTAGGTACATATGTAGGTATTATTGCATTTTTATCTCTCCTGAAAAATGTACGCAGAATCCTAATTTAATGAAGATCATAAAAGCCTGCGACCTTACAAGGCATTTTGATGGAGCATGCACTATTTGTATGCCATTTATCGCTCCACTAGCGTTTTCTTGAGCCCCCGAAAATGAATGTGCGCCTGCACAACAACACCACGGTTATCTGATCTGCGTCTAACGCATTCCGTCCTTATCCCTCCGTAGTAATGACTTAATACATAACAAAGCTAATTTAAGAGTTGCAAAATTTATCATCAGAGAATTCAGAAGACGAGGTTGGCGAATGTACGTATAATTCGATAAATTCTCGTCAGACCTGTACATTTATATGGAAAGGGGGTGCAAGTTCAAACGTGTTCGTCATTTCGGACAAGTTAGTCGTGGAAATGGGATGGGGTCGATAAGAGAAGGCTGGTTATGAGGGCAGGGTTTGGTGGAGCAGTCTAGGGGAGGGAGGGCGAAAGAGGGAGGGATCGCCGCAACCGAAAACGACGTAGACGCACTCTTAAATGCTGTCAACCAAGCCCATCCACCCATTAAGTTCACGTTGGAGGTGGAAAAGGCAGGTTCGCTTCCTTTCTTGGACGTCCTCCTAAGTCGCAGACCTGACGGTAGCGTCCTGGTCAGGACAGTGCACGAATTTTGACAGTTTCGTACCCCTTCACCAGAAGCGAAATCTAGTTCGCTGCTTAGTGCAAAAGGCTAGAAAATTTTGCTCAGCAAATAGTATTGAGGAGAAGCTCAAGAAAATTGAGGGCCTTCCTCATGAGAACGGGTATCCTGAGAAATTTATTACCAGGAATATGACTGAGAAACAAATAAAACAAACCGCACTTACTGTAAAAAATAAAACACTATTTCTCAAAGTCCCCTTTCGAGGGGAAGCAGCAAGTGAACTGCTAAAAAGACGCCTTGACCAAGCCGTTTCAAGAACCTTCCCGGCAGCCAGACTTCGGGTATTATTCTCAACCAACGCAATTTTACATGGGGGAGGGAGGGATAGGGTACCAACTCAGACCAACTCCATGTGCATATACCCTTACAATTGCTCCACTGAAGCAGGTTATATTGGTCACACGAGTCGGTGCCTATCCAAAAGAATAAAGGAACATCTCCCGACATGGCTGAGAAAAGATGAAGTCAGAAGCACAAACAGCTCGATTCTGGCCCACACGATCGATTCCGGACATCAGGTAGACCGCAACAAACCTTTCCGAGTGATTTACGAGGTCCAAGCAAATTATCCAAAGTCCCTGGGTCAGCGCCGGCTAGCAACAGCAGAAGCGACCGCTATAAGGCTGACGATGCCCGCGCTGTGTGCACCAAAGAACTTCCTACCCTTCCTTTCCCTCCTCCCTCCCCTAGACTGCTCCATCAAAGCCTGCCCTCATAACCAGCCTTCTCTTATCGACTCCACCCCATTCCCACGACTCACTTGCCCGAAAAGAGGAACACGTTTGAACTTGCACCCCGTTTCCATATAAATGTACAGGCCTGACGAGAATTTATTGAGAGTGTACGTATACTCGTCAAACTCCTCTTCTGAAAGTTAATTTACTTAATTCACATGTAAGGGAAGGGGATTTTCTTCTTCTGTCCCGAGACTTCGCGCATCGCTTCCTATTATTATTTGCAGTTTTAGTGTGTTTATTTAACAAGTGCCCATGATCGGATTGTTTGGGACAATGCCTATTTTAAATGCTATTTATCACTTTTTCAACGAAACCAAAGTGTTTGGGATGAAGGTGAGTACTGAGGGATGAACTATGCCCGATCAGAAAAGTAAAATTGCTCAAGGTCACTCTGCGCTGATAGGATACTTTCTGTGAGCATTTTTTGCGTATTAAACCGTTATAGAATGATTGTTATTCTTTAATTTCTTGCATTTATAAATTCTGACGATTAATATCGTGCAGAGTTTCCTTTCCTACATTGAAGCTTATCCAATTAAGTGAAACTCAAATATTGGTGCGCACCAAATGCAACCTAAAAACCAATTACTTAATGTGGATGATCTCATTATTTATTTATTATTACGTTCATTAAGAACGCATTTTAGGGTAAGAGTTAGTTTTAGGGTTAGATTTAGGGTTAGTGTTATGGTATAGCCTTAAGGTTTACTTTTTTGTTTTGTAATTAGTTTACGGGTTGCATACATTGCTCTGTAATGTTCTCATGCTTCCTTAACGCA